GTTCAGATGAACAGAAAGATGCAAACTGCTTTCAAGCCTTCCAAAAATACTGGTAGTCACTCCCATTTTCCAAAAATGCTAAAGTCAGGAGAATGCTGTCAATGTGGCAGCTTATAGTGCTGTTTCACTGCCAAGCAGTAAAACTTACTATAATTTTAAAAGTCTGTGTCAAACATACTCATCCACTGGACAGGAACAACACATTTTGTTTCAAGTCATTATGTTTTAAAGGTGAGAGTAGTGAGTGTTAAAGCCCGGTGATGACCTGTGCTGCTGTTTGACAAGATTTGTTAAGTCCTCATCTTCAAGAAGATAATTTAAGACAGTTGTTGACTAGGGATGTTTGATTCTTGTATTGCCCAACAGAAGAGTACTGCAGAATCCTCCTACTTGGTGATTCTTGATATTAAACATTTTATCACAAAAAATTCTCTTCTCAGAAGGTAAATGGACTCAATGGCATGTACAATTGCAATTAATGTAAAGGTAGTAGTAGTGGGTTCCCAAAATCTCCTTAGTTAAGGAAACTTGGATACTTATATATAAAGGTAATAAAATATTTTTAATATTAGCTATTATTAGCTAGTTCTTTATTCACTTTGCAAAAATATAGCCTATTTATAAGAAATTTATCACTGCTGGACCTCCTATGTAACTATAAATATTAAATTAAATATGATATAAAATTCTTTCTCTCTTGTTTGATTACTGACAACAGATGCTCAATGGCGTGTATGAATGTAATGCCATGTGTCAGATAAGGCAATGCAGTAGATTTTCAGAGGAAATAATAATGTATCTCGCTTTACTTAATATCTTTCTAATGATAGCATATGGAGGGTCATATTGGTACCACAATATGGATAAATTTGTAATTTGTAAAAACAAATTCATCTTCCTCTCTTCTGAAAGTACAGTTGAGCTCTGAACACGACTAGCATAGAGGATAGACAAAAAGACAATCCTTTTTTTCTTCATTAGTTTTGTTCTTGTATTTTCATTTAGGGGATAAATCTTCATGGTGAACGGAAGCCCTTACCTTTATTTTTGCCCATGCACAAAAGAGGTTTACATTTCATTGGATTTGCCTTTTGGCATTTCAGCCTCATTTTTGTAAAAATGCTGAAATCACAACTGTAGTTTTGTGGCAAATTTTCTCTAATTTCACTGCTATTTGCTTATGCAATTTGTTTCCAAATCAGTTTCCACTTCACAAAATCCAGTACAGTACAGAACCATCACTTCTGACGTGTGTCAGTGTCACATTTATGAACTGGTATTTAGCAGTAGTGCTATCAACTGTTTCTCAAAAAAGTCCAGAAACTATTTAGAAATTTAATCATAATTTTAGCAATGTATTTTGCCTAGTCTCCAGACTCCACTGAATTAAAACAGTAACTCTGACAAGGTGGAAATCAGTTTCTGAGTTCATTTTTAGGAGAAAATGATTCACAAACAGGATAGTGACAGGCTTTTATGATTACAAATTTCACACATTCTACTCCTTCAAAAGGGCTTATAGAGACTGATAGATCTACAAAGAAAGAAATGAAAAAAACGAAGGGAAGAGATATAAATAGACTTTTACATTAGGATGAATGATGGAAGGTGTTAACCCCACTACTGTAGTGTGCCTTTTATATGTTCCTTTTCTTTTTCATTCCTTTTGACCTGCTACCATCTTCCTTCGAAGTAAAAGTTAACTACAGTATGAAACGTAGGTAAGGTGAGCAATAGCTGGAAATAAATGTTTCCTCAAGCATTATTACTGTTCAGAAAAGTGTCCATCAGCTGAAATGTCAGGCTCAAAACCCATTTAAGCACTGCACAGAGGCTAAACAGGCAGCTATTATTAATTTTTAAGTCTGCCTGATGGGTTTTAGACCAAGAATTGGGGTTAACTCGATGCACTGAATATTGCAGAGTATATTTAATTAGGGAGGCTTTGACACGAAGATGGCTGAGGATTTATTCTGTGCAAACTACTGCTAAAATATGAAGGAATAGCTGCATCTACCTAAGAAAAAGATCTGCTGCATCATATTAAAATGCATAAAACTGGTCTTAGTTGCAGGTTTTCAGACTTTTATCCTAATGTAAACACTGTGTACTTTGAATCTGTTTCAAAGCCCCATTGTGCTTACATCTAGGATAATTTTCTGTCCATTATGCTGCAAGTTAGCAATGTGAATTTCTCCATAATAAGTCCTGTTCTTCACAGTTCATTATCAAACCAAACCATTTTCTCACTGTGCCTTAAATAGATGTTTCTTTACTCAAAACATATCTGTGGGATTCCAATGAAAGGGTTAACATTTGTCTATAATGTATTTATCTATAAGCATAGAGGGCTCTAAAACACGAATGGGCACTAAGACACAAAGTGAGATATTAAAGGGCTCTTTATTTGCTTTTGATCCAATTCAGAACCTTAGAAGGCAATAAAAAAGTAGCAAATCAGAAATTACTTCTTTCCCATGGTTGTAAAATCTCTTAGCTGCATCTATTACACTTCTCCTCTTTTTCCTTCCTTTATTGCACCACTCTTGTCCCTGCCCCAGGCCATTCTCTGCCAACCAAAAAACCTATTCACACAAGAGTATAGAAGATCAAGTGTAAAGATACAAGTGAAGTGGGAAATTTGTCCATTCCTAACAAAGGACATTGCACCATATTTTCCCAGGTAAGTGAGGTGATTTTCACTTGTAACAGAGGAACAAATGTCATTGACAGCTCTGAAAGATAAGCAGAAATTAAATGCAGACCCCTGAGCCATTTGAAGAGAATGGGAACTGGTTTAGTTCTACATACTGGATCACTTTAGCACTTGATGTGTTTTATTGGTTGATAAATACGTTACCTATTCTCCATTCTCAGTGATTTAAATTTGCATCTATATCGTATGGCCCAAAACCCTCAAAAGAAAATTAGGTGGGCTCACCATCAGAGGAAAATGAATCAGCCCCCATCTCTTCTGAAATAGACATGATTTCAAAGTGAACAGAGCCCTTAACTTGACAAAAACCCTCTTGTGAGGCCTCGAATAGTAAACCACATATGTTCTGTAGCACACGATTGCATTTTCCATGAACATGTATTCTTTGCTGGGAGTTTTGTCTTTCACATGCCTGAAACAGGGTTTGTGAAGCACACTATAAAGGGCTAAACAAACCCTATGGTAATATAACATATTTATGTGTTATATAACACACATACATAACATAGGTTATTTGTGTAAAAAGGGAAGGTTCTGTCTTTCCAGGTACAGATGTATCTGTGTTTGCATGTGGGTGTGCATGTGCACACAATTATTCTTCAAAGGCATTGTAGTTTCTGTTTTCCTCATCAGTCTGCAGGCCTGAAATTTCCAGCTATCCTTATGGAGCCCTGGCTACTGCTGTGGCTACTGCATCACTGCCATAAGGAAAGGAGTAGTGCCTGGATTTCCCTGAGCAAAGACTGTGTTTATACATCCCAAACTATACAGCCATCTGCGGTACCCTGTGTCACCAGTTCCTGCCTAACTGGCAGTTTTCAGCTTTCCCAGGAAGCATTTTCTGGACTTTTTCTCCTCAAGCCCTAAATTTGATGTTTCTTCTCCAAGTGTTCATATTTCTCCTTTACAACACCCATTTTTATCCAGGCTCCTTTTGCCTTTCCACGGTACCCAATGTGCACAACATGCTTATGGCTCCTCAGCACTCAATTTTATCTGAGAATCTCTCTGATATATTTTCTTCCTAATAAAAACCTTTGAATGAAAGTGTTAAAATAGATTTGATACTAATGTCTGTTGCATTATGATGGAGAACTGAACATTGTACCGTTTGTAGCAATGGAAAAATATTTTGTTTATAGTCCTTCACACTGTTTTCAATGAAACAATCTGCTTTTCCATCACAGACATGGATTACTTAAATTATGTTTTCAATAAAATTTTCCAGATATTATCAAATACTTTCCTACAAACTAGATTAATTTTTCCTATGATATCCACCCACTAGACCTATTCTGTGAAGAAACAAAACAACTGTGTAAATATTTATGAATAAAAGTTTATAAATAAGTATTTGGTTGCATGTTATTTATCCTATAACCATAAAATGCTATTGACATTTGTTCTTTTTTCCCCCCTAGAGAGAGCTATTTTACTGTTTACCTCCTTATAAATGAGAGGAAGTAATTTAAATGATCACATGCTGTCCTTTTTTTAAGTTTGTTCTTGTATTTGCTCCTCCGCTCATCCGATATTTTTCCATTCTCTCTACTGCTTTCACCAATGGCCATCCTAATCATGTGGGTATGGTGACATCCTCAGGCAATTCTCACAACCACTTTTCACACAGCATCCTACCAAAATGTTCAGCATATTCAGATTTTTCTAATACTCTCTTAACGACTTTTTGAGTAATAATTTCTTAAGGTGTGCACATTTTCAAACCTTAGGAACAATATGAGTATGTATATAAGGGTTTTATTGACAAAAGCAAGTTAAGAATATGGGGCCAGCATTTTAAATACATGGCCTAGGTGCCTGTAAGCATTAATCAGGTTTACCTAATTATTGATCAGAGTGATGCTGCACACTGTAAATGGCTTGGTCTGTCCTCTCCATTAATTTTAAAGCTGTCATTTGGAAAAAACAGATTAAGAGGCTTCAGAAGCTTTGATTCAAATGTAAATGTACATACATAAAGACATACATATATGTCTATATGGATGCAACATGGGTCACAGAATTTTTGTCACTGTGACTGTGGCTCATGTAAGAGGTTGACAAATCTCTATGAAGAAGTTCAGAAAGTGCAGGTTCAGAAGTCCTACCTCGGTAACTTGTTAGTACCTAAATAAGCATGTCTCTAGGCATAATTGGTTGTGTACACGAATGCCAGATTCTGCCATTTTTCAAGCTTTGGTCTTTGCCTTGGCAATTCAATACAAGACTGTCTCAGCCCAGGTACCTTGGTTCCAGAGATGGTGAGGTGTGTATCAGTACTTACAGCTGTCCTCCTCCTCCATGAAAATACTGATCACATAACAGGCATACACAAATCCAATCAGCTGTGTGAAAATAAGAGGAAAAAGCCATCGTTAGAACACATTGAACACTTATAAGGCCTTTAATACAGTGATATACACAGGTATCACAGCTAAATTTTAAAGATATTTACTTCTATTTCCTGCATTTACAAATTTCAGTGCATACGGTCACAAACAGCTAAATTAATTTCCTCTCTTTTCCTCATGTTGCATAACATATATTTTATAAATTTATATAAATATGCATTTTATAGTTTAAAATATTTTCCTAGTCCCACTGGGATCAGTATTGATGAATACTGCTACTGAGTAATACTGGTAGAAAACATCTGTACCCTGATGTTCAGCTATTATTTGCATTTCTTTGTTCTTCAATACCTCTGGTCTCACGTGGCTTTTCCCACATGAATGGGGGCCCCCTATGCACCTCACATACTTACTAAAATGCTAAAATATTTATTGACTGCTACAGAATTAAGTCATAGTAACACTTTTATGGAAACCACAAGAAATGTCTTTTGGTGCTACATAAAGTGTCCCAGTGAAGAACTGTTAGGCAAAATTTTAAACTGATAGGTGAATTGTCATGATGTAGCTGAACAGTAAAACTGGGTTATGATTCACTGACATCAGGAAACACCTTATTGGTAATTCAGGTTAGCTATGCAGGAAATGAACAGTATCATTTCCCCAAAGAACAACAGTCAAACCATGCCATTATTTTATCAGCAGCACCCACAAAAACATCCTCCTTAACCCAGATTTGCGTCACTTGTGCCACCAAGAGGAAGGGATTAAGATCTTTAGGATCAAGAAATAGAACTCCACTCACTCCTTATCCATATAGACAAAATGTTTTCTTATGACCATGACCAAAGATGAAGGAAATCCCATTGGGCAAGGAAACCTATTAAACTGCACAGCCAGACATGTCCCATCTTGAGAAAATATTATTTGTCCAGCTGTACACAATTCATGCTATCTGAAAGCCTTGAAAAGACTCTTCATAAGAGATTTCAAAAATAGCTGAGAGATTAGTTTTAAGAACACTCCTTTTCCTCTGGTCCATTCAAAAAATCTAATTAAAATAGTTATTCTAAGGATGTCACGGATCAACCATCTGAGAAAGAGGTAATTTAACAGTATCTAGACAGGTATAAACGCCTTCAGAAGCAGAGGAATCATTCCCATCTGCTTTCTCGTTGGGCTGCACGAGGAGCTTTACAAGCAGCTCCAAAAGCCTCTCTGCAGACAAAAAGCTTGTCCACACCAGGGAATTCAGGGAAGTTAAGATGAATTAACTGAAGCTGTGAAATCAATGCACATAAGATAAAGTACATTAAATCCCTGTGTGGCCTTCCCCGTTCAGAAATAAAGTGGCCCTAGTTCACTGCATCTTAATCCTTCTCCAAGGGATTAATCTTCCCATGGAGAATTAAGCCACAGTATGCTGAAGCTGGGCTACTTGTGAATGAGGGCTGTCACAGCACTGTGGCACAGTCCTGTCAGAGCTTCCTCTCCAGGGCATTCACCTCACTGGTGCTTTGACAAAGTGACTTTAATCCAACTTTTCTCTCATTCTGAGCAGACTGTGGTATCAGCAGCTTCCCTGACTGCTTTTGTGTCCACTTTGCTGCGTGGTTTTGCCACAGCCTCTCTCAGGTGAGCAGCACTTTGTTGCACTGATGCTCTGAGGCAGGTAAATGCAGCCCAGCTCTGGAGGTGGCTGGGATGGATCCATGCCCATCCCCGTGTTCCTGGTGCCACGGAGGCTGCAGCAGGATGGGACCCACAGACACAGCAGGGCTGGCTGGGTCACTGTGTGCTCACTTTACCTGCCGAGCATTGTGTGGCTGAATAGGAGCAGAGCAGCTCCTGCTGTTGATGACAATGGGATCATATGGATCTGCTGCCAGCACAGCCAGCGCCAGCATTGGCTTACAGACTCCTTGACAGACCAAGCACATTTTTTCCCTAAACTTCACAGTTTAGAGCACCTTTCAGGCATGACAACTAAAACAATACAATATAAAGGCTTCCAAGAGATCAAAAGACAAATCATACCTCAGATGCAGTGCTTGTGTCACCTGAAGGCTACATGTAATTTTAAAAATATTGCATTAGTACCATAGAAAAAGCAGTGATTTTTCATAACAGGATATCACCTATTTATTTACAATCTTTCCTGATCACTATTTGTGTTGTGCAATTTGACTACATAAGTCACTTGGGTTTGTTTATTTTTCCTAAACATGACTAAAATATTTTGAAGAGTAAAACTGCTGAACAAATAATGAACATGATAGAAATGAATTGCAGTACAGGCTGTGGATTAAGTGTTTGTGAAGGAAGATCAAATATTAGAATTATTTACTCTTTCCACATCCTGCATTTACTTTTTTGTAGTAGTAGTATTCTGTATTAAATTAACTTTTATAAACGCAATTCTTTCTTTATATGTTCGTGTGTGCTCTATATCTTTGCGTATTATATAAAACATATCTCTGTAAGGGCTTCCAGCAGGTTTCTCAAATGTCTAAGATGTTGGACAAGTGGATAAAGCACAGCAAAATTTCCACTCTAATGAGAAATAAATGACCTGACACAGAGAAAACAATAGGGAAAAGTGCTCAAAAACTCTTCCAGAAAATGTGGGTCATGACAAGCCTGAGTTTAACAGTCCTAAGAGTTTACATCTTTCTCTTTCAGCAGACCTTCTCCTTAATCTTCTCCCATTCTCTTAAATGTTTGAAACACATTTTGCCTAATCTATGACCTCCTTGCAAAATCAGCAGCCTTTCTCTACTTCTCAGAAATATATTTCTTTATATTCCTCAGCATTAGAAATCACTGCTAGCTGTTGTATTTATGATGTATACTTGTTTAAAACAGCATTTAGCCCATCTGTTTCTTTATAAATACCAGGAAAAAAATATATATGTATATTCACCCTCTTTCAATTTCATGGTCATTTCAAGGGGAAAAAAAAATTGATAATCCAACAATATCTTTCTGTAGTTAAATGACAGAATGCATGTTTCTGAAAGAATAAAGCAACAAGGAGAAAAAAGAGCCCTTTAGCATCAATTGTCAGGTATTGCTGCTCAGGGGGTCAGCAGTGCTTGACTTGCAACTAACAATCAAGTAGTTATGGTTGGGCAACTGATATCTACAGCACCATTAACAAGAAGTGATAAAGTGGGAATACACCCTTTGACAGATGAGACCTGTTTCCAGGTCCTCAGAGTTACAGCCACCACTGTGTGAATATTTTTTGTAAATGAATGAATTAAAACCTCTTATTTTATGTTATTGATGGACATGCTAATAAAATATTTATTCCAACAAATAACTTTTGGTATCTTGATTAACACAGCTGCTGTTTAATTAGTAGTGTTATGCTCATGTGAATCCATCTAATTGCCAATCTTGGTACTGGAAATGTTGGCTATGGGCCTGGCACCAAGTGATAGACTTAAACATGTGTTCCCTGATAACTAAAGCAAATATGACACATATGAGCTGGGAGAGTCTTAATTTGGTCATCCTGAGTTTCAGTAATAATTCAAAGGGACCAGTGAAGTGGTTGGAAGAGGATGTCCAAAGTGTCAAAGATCACTAGCACCTGAAAGTATAAATAGGAGCCTCTGGCCTGATCCAGAGAGAAATACAGATGGCCAGGAGCCTTGTCTTGACAACACTGAGCTCAAGGCATGGAAACCTTCTGGGATCCCTGCACTGTGCAACACTGCCTGTCTGACCTGGAGAGCCCAGTCTAGTTAAGTGTCTCAGAAGACACCTGTCAGTGATATTCTGCAGAAAATCAGGATTTAATTGTGGGTAGAGGCTGCTGTCCCCAGCCTTCATCCATCTACACAGTGGTTAGGGTACATACCTTTTTCTAGAGAGAATAAGCAATACATAAAATACTCAGCTATTTCAGGGAACCACAGAACGGTTTCAGTTCAAAACTCTTCTGCTTCAACCTCCCTGCCGTGGGCAGGAACATCTTTCACCACATCAAGTTTCTCAAATTTCATCCAGCCTGTCCTTGAACACTTTCAGGTATGAGGCATCCACAGTTGCTCTAGGCAACCTATTCAAGTGCCTCATCATTCTCATTGTAAAAAATGTCTGCCTTATGTTCAATCTTGATCTATGCTCTTTCAACTTACAACTCTTACCCTTCGGCCTCTCACCACAGACCATGGTAAAAAGCCTCTTTCCATCTTTCTTAAAAGACCCCTTCATAAATTGAAAGGCCAAAATAAAGTTTAAATAGCTCCAACTCTCTCAGCCCTCCAAATATTCTCATGGCCCTCCAAGTGGAGTATTATGAAAGCAGAGTAGAGAGGTAGAATCACCTCCCTTGACCTGCTGGCCACACTTCTTGTGATGCAGTCAAGGGTACAATTGGCTTTCAGGACTGCAAGTGTATTCTGCTGACTCACATTAAGTTTGTCACCTACCATGATCCCCAAGTTCTTCTCAGCAGGAAACCTGCTGAGAAGAATCCACAAAGGGATTCCTTATTAGTGGAACATGGGTACATTGATATGATGCTATTATCAAGGCTTTTGATGCATAATATATTTTCTGCTGATATCCTTTGGTAGAAATAAAATAGTAGTGGTCTCTGTAATTTTTCTCCCGTGCAGGCAGCAGAGTCTCAAGAGGACCTTAATGCTTTAGTCTAACTAAAATCTCCAGGCTTAAGCTATGGACATCTGCATGAAATGTAAATGCTTAGTTTAATAGAAGTGAAAATAGATTATATAATTGTCCATCATTAAACTGAGAGAAACTATTAAAACATGTAAGAAATTAAAAACCTAATCATTTAAGCAAATATATGCTGTGAGATATAATTACTTTAATAAATGAATATTACTAGAATATATCCTATTAAAAATAAGAATCAAACTGAGTGCAAAAATGTATGTTTACTTGCTAATTAATGTATTTTAATAGTTACTACTTAATGTGGATTAACCTTTCCTTAGGAAAGCAAGGACAAATGT